CTCACACACACACACGCACACACACACACACACACACACACACACATGCACACTCTCTCACACCCACCCACACATGCACACTCTCTACACACACACACACTCACACACACACACACACACACACACACACACACACACACACACACACACACACACACACTCACATTGACCTTGATTCCCTGCCCTGGTGTGCTTTAACAGTGCCCCTATATTTAAACTGTACTTTTTATTCGCATGACTGGATACCTGTGTGGGGCAATGGTTCAGTATTACAATAACATTATGGTTCTCCTCCGTAAAAAACGCTCAGACCTGCACTTACGACCAGATGGCGCCTCTGTTCTTGTCTTGGAGCTTTCTTCCATTGCTTGAGAAGTAAAAACTCCCATTTTTTAGTTTTAAAACCAATGTTATTCATGTTAGCCTATACATGTATTCTGCACTTCGTTCAGCTGTTCACTTAACTAAATTTTTATCAACTATGGCTTTATGGCCTCTCAATCCCAATGACCCGTCGAAATCGAGCTTATGTGGCTTTCATGACTTTGTGGTCTAGCTGTTAGTTTGTTGAGCTTTTAATCAAAAGGCCACAGGTTCAAACCCCGCTAGAGTCGGGCGTTGGGTCCTTGGGAAAAGCACTTTGCACTTTTTCTCCCATTAACCAAGTGTGATAAAACAGAGAATTGCATAGGCTAAGGCTAGTTTCAATCAAAATATGAACCCGATCCTCAAAAATAGAAACATCTCAATGACTACTGAAATGAAAGTTCTGAAATGATATGTAGTATGGTCAACCCTTCTATATGGCTGTGAATGCTGGACAATAACTAAAGACAGTGAAAATAAAATAAAAGCAACAGTAATGTGGTTTCTTGGGAGACTGTTAAGAATATCGTAGAAGGAAAAGAAATCAAATGAGGTAGTGCTTGATGAAGCCTGCATGGGACGCTCACTGTTAAGAACAATCAGGGAATGACAAATGCAGTTTTTTGGGACACCTGAAGAGACATAAGGGTCTTGAACATCTAGCTCTCGCTGGCAAAATTAAAGGCAAATGTGGCAGGGGTAGGCCCAGAGCAACCTACTTAGGCAACATAAACAAGTGGGTTAGGGGGAAAGATGAGGGAAACGTAGCTTTTTTAAGAGCATCCGAGCAAAGGAATGAATGGAGAACTATGATCGCCGATATCTGTCACAGATCTGGCACTGGAAGATGATGATGACCCAAGTGTGAATGGGTAGCCACCTATATCTTGTCAATTTGTTGGTGATTGAGTGCTGAATCGAATCGGCTGCTTGCACTGCGTGCTTCCGGGAATCAGAGAATATATCTCTGAGAGTAATTATTAGCTTAGTTGTAAAGCTCATAGAAGATGCTGTAAACTATGGCTATGCACTATACAAATGCAATGATGACATCATGATTAGTAGTAGTAGTAGTAGTACTAGTAGTAGTAGTTAGTAGTAGTAGTAGTAGTAGTAGTAGTAGTAGTAGTAGTTGTTGTTGTTGTTGTTGTTGTTGTTTGTGTTGTTGTTGTTGTTGTTGTTGTTGTTGTTGTTGCTGCTGCTGCTGCTGTTGTTGTTTTTGTTGTAGTAGATTAGCACAGGTACTAGTAGTAAAAATAGTGGTATTATTGAGTAGATATACAGTGTATATATATCATGATATATACTATAATATAAAACATGCACAATATGTTACAACATTATGCAATACAATACAATATGATGCAATGCAATGAAATTTAATATAATGTTTAATGTAATATAATATAATATTTTTATAGAATTTTTTGGTAAGAGTTTTACGGCGCTTGCAACTGCATACGGTCATATGACTATGAGCGCGCGGGACACAAAACATTTTCAGTTGGTAGGAAATTTTGAATTTTGCCCAGGTGGCTGTCGAGCCTACTCTTATTGATTTTTGGACCACCAAGGGATCTTTAATGTGCGCAACTTGCACACGGGACTCCGAGATTTTTCGCCTTTGTCCGCGAGAAAGCTAAGTGTAGATCTTACCTACCATAAGATAAGGGGTGTGTCTGAAAGACAGCAGTAAGAAGGAGCCAAGGAGTAGCAATAAAAAGACAGCAGAAAGAGTCAGGAGCCTAGAGGACGGAGTAAAGGAGGTGAGGGGGTGGGGACAGAAAGTAGAGACGAGAGCAGACGACAGAACATTGCAAGAGAGCAGGAAAGGAGGTGAAAGGAGACAATTAATCTTAGATAAGAAAATTTTTCCGTCTCTACTCGGATTCGAACCCGGACATTTGAATGAGAGGTGAACTATTTAACCTCAAGGCCACGAGAGCCCCCTTAATATAATATACTATACTATACTATACTATACTATACTATACTATACTATACTATACTATACTATACTCGACTATACTCGACTAGACTAGACTAGACTAGACTAGACTAGACTAGACTAGACTAGACTAGACTAGACTAGACTATACTATACTATACTATACTATACTATACTATACTATACTATACTATACTATACTATACTATACTATACTATACTTTACTATACTTTACTATACTATACTGTAACGTAATATAATATAATATAATATAATATAATATAATATAATATAATATAATATAATATAATATAATATAATATAATATAATATAATATAATATAATATAGTATCAATTAATAACAGAGTCCAATGTAATTCACTATAATAAATATATAATATGATATGGTGTGGTATGATAGAATAGAATAGAATAGAATAGAATAGAACAGATATTATATTATCCCACTATCTGCACCTCACTTTCTTTTTTTTTAAAACAATTTGAGGCATTGAACATAAACAAATAATGACGTTACCTCAGGGTGCATGTCTTCTTCCTGGCGGTGTCTGTTGACAGAATTCAGTGTCTCGTTGCTGCAGTTAGGTGGTCTAGATGTGGGTATGCGGTGCTAGAATCGAGAAGCTGTTTTATAAAGATACATTGTGTACAACGTATTTTGCTTTTCAGACTGTTGATTTGAAAGCAATATTTGGTGTCGTATACTATTCCTTATATTTTACAAATGGCAAATGTAAACCTAATCATGTGTTTTCGTATAAAATTGTATTCCCTCCTATTAAAATCCAGATAGGGCTATAAATATCAAATTCAGACAGAGAGTATCTTATTCTCGTATAATGGTATGCTAGACATCCATTTAATTCAGAATAAACCAGACATCGGAAGAAAATGTTTGGATTCTTGTGTGTTGTTGTTCTTCTTCCTTTGGCAAAACCAACAAGCATAAAAATTCCTTCATACCGTCATCAATACGAGTTATTCAGTCGTTGTCAGGTGAGCGAGAATAAAATGGTTCTATATGTCCATCCAATGACTATTCGTTAGTGTGTGTCTACATTATGTTATGTAAGTGAATGTGTGTGTGTGTGTGTGTGTGTGTGTGTGTGTGTGTGTGTGTGTGTGTGTGTGTGTGTATTTTGTCGAGTACGTGTGTATTTATGTATATACGAAGTTGCAGCAAGTTCCTGTTTGTGAAGAGCAATAAATTGTTACCTTATCTTTTCTCACCTTGTCTTATCTTGGAAGACATTAGTTATCAACTTTTCCTGGGCCTACGAGACAAACAGGAACAAAAAAGTGTTGTTGTTTTTTGTTTTTGTTTTTGGGTTTTTTGTTGTTGCTGTTGTTGTTGTTGTTGTTGTTGTTGTTTTGTGGGGGGGTTGGGGGGTGGGTGGAAAGTGTTTTACGGCTTTCACAACTGCATAAGGTCATATATGAGCGCACGGAACACATTAAAGGTATGCATGGAAAGCCATACGAAAAGAAAAGAAAAAAACACACAACGAAAATCTGCAGTCCTCCATTCTAACTTCATTTGGGAAAGTTCATCCCTTTGGTCGCCTAAAACTTCTGAACCACTTAACTTAAGAATTTGAAAAAAAAATTAACGGTGGTTCAGAATCATTTAAAGGGCGTACAGTTACATAAAGGAGTTTAATTTTCAGATTTTCATTAGTTTCGTTCAGATCTCATCTTGGGAAAGTCCGTCTTCTAAGACACCATTGGAAACAAGTGAGGCTTCCCGTTCACAAGCAGTGCACACTGGTCCACACTGACTTGACGATCGATTCTTTTGAGTCCGTTAATCGAACGGGTACCTAGCTATTAGTTATAATAATAATAATAATAATAATAATAATAATAATAATAATAATAATAGTAATAATAATAATAATAATGATAATGATGATGATGATTATGATGATAATACTTTTTCCGTCATTTAATGACGATGACACTGTATCTGCAGAGGAGAATATTTCTTATGTGGGGAGAAAGAAAATTAAAAGGTTAAGATGACCGATGGCTTCTGTTGTGGCAGAGGAAAGTTTGCTACATTTTGAGCATTTAAAAGTACAGGGCGTCTAATTTTAAAAAATGACTCACTTAAAGGGCAGTAACTCGATCATCTCGGCACCAATTTTAACAAACCTTAGAACAAACAAAATTCAGCCATGAGAACATCAAGTCTGTAAATAATAATGAAAAAAAATCAATCAAAGCGTTCGACATATATCAAGTTTTAAAAATGTTAGCCAAATTTTGATAAAACACAAATTTTTACTTCTTAAAAGCGTTCAGCTACAGTTACGTAATCGGTACGTTCTTGTTCCAGGACAAGGGGCGGTAGATCTTTCCTACC